AGCGCTTTTGCATACACTTTTCTTACAGAATTCTCAGAACAATCTTGTAAGCCAAGGCAAGAAGTGCTTTCACTATTTCATACAAAAGAGCCCACAGGTCCCACAAGAGGGTCGGTAGAGGCAGCCTCTAACCCACTTCTTCTGGTTCCAGACGGGTCAGAGTGTGTGTTTCTCCTGTCCTGACACATGACCTTCTCTCTAAGAAAACAGATTTTGCTTGAAATTCTTTTCCTAAAGGGCAGTTTATTGTTTATGCCAGAAATGTGCCTCTCTTCATTTACAGTGTGGTAATACTAGTTTTTGTGGTATTTATCCAGGTAATGCAGGACTTAAAAATGGTAAATTCAATTTAAAAAACCCTTGTATTTGTTTACTTTATAGATGAAATACATTTTCATATGGAATATCTAAGAAACAGTGTTATATATAACATATAATTGTCTATTTTAGTACTTTGTCCAAAGTTTATCCCCATGTTAGATATTTACTATATAACATAATTCTATAGTATATTTAATAACTCTATAGTTTCATAATGTATAGGAAATTTGTTTTATACTTTCTAGATTTCCCTTACTAGAAAGTTGATTTTCTAAACTCAGACAGCTTACGACTAGGAAATCTCACAGCTCTTTAAAGCTGCAGCTGCATTCTCCCAGCTGTCAGACTGCGGCACAAGCTGCCATTTCATAATAACTTTCTAAAAGTAAAGTACATCCAAATATGTGACCATGAATAGAGAATTTGAGGTTGAACTTTGATTTTTTCCCTCCATTTTGGGGGAAATATTCAGACCTTTATTTAGTTCAAAATAAAGATGTTTAAAACAACAACAACAAATTAAAGGACTCCCCCCCCAAAAAAAAAATATAAATGGAATTACAGACCCAATTTAGATTTTTTTTTTTTTTTTTTTAGGAGAGAAAATGTTCAGACCAGAGTCATAGAGAACTAGAGCTAAAGTGACCCTGCTACCATCAAGTGCCACCTCTATTTTAATAGGCAAGGACTCAGGTACCTGAGGGCTCTGCAGCTGGCTGGAATGTGCACAGCAGAGTGCAAGGCCAGGACTGGCATCCTGTGATCCCAGGAATCCCTGGCCATAGTAGATGCTGACATTTTCTGAGAGCTTTGGGCCACACGTTAGTGTGTTTCTGAGCTCACATCCACCTTGTTGACTCTCCCCATTTTGCACTTGAGGAAACAATAGATTCGTATAGCTTCTACAGTTAGGATGGAAGGTACAAGTCCCTCTTTTCCAGCTAACTTCTGTTGATCCTTATTTTTCATCAACCTGCTTAAAAGATGATGGCAATATTCTGTAGCCTTTAAAAATCAAGACTTCTCCCGAGGGATTACTGCGGCCATTTAACTAGATATCACTTTAACTCTCACTTGACTTCTAACTTTGAACTTTACTCCCTTTCAGCCCCTTCTGAATGCTACCAATTAGAGTAGAACTAGTTTCAAAAATGTACGCCGAATCTTGTCACTTTGCAGCTATGACAATATACAGCTGATGCCAGTGTTCCTCAAGCCTCAGGGCCAACTTCCCATGGGTCTGCAGGGCAGGGCACATCCATTGGTGTGTGATGGCAGCTATGCCTGCTACACAGGAGGGAGAGTGCTCAGGGCCAGTGGGGACAGGCAGATGACATGGACAGCTCTAGAACAGGAATCAAAAGATCCACTGGACACTGTTCATGTGGACTGCTGATCAGGGAGATATACACAGCACAGCCACGAGTCATAAAATGCCTCTGCAAGGCTGCGCAGAAATATCGAGGCTTTAGGCAGGACTCTGGCAGGAGAAGGGGCAGAGGGTCACCCCCAGGAGAGCCCTTTTTAAAAAATATTTTTATTAGTTGTTGATGATTTTTTTAACTTATTTATATGCTGAGAATTGAACCTAGGACGTCACACATGCTAGGCAAGCGCTCTACTGCTAAGCCACAACCTCAGCCCCCCCTCTTCTGCCCTTTCCCTCCGCCCTCCCCCGCCCCAGGAGAGCCCTTTTAACCCTCTGGTTACACAGGTGCTGGACCATGTGAATCCCATGTGTTTAAGTATAAAACAGATGTAGAAATAAGAACTGGCTTGTTTATTCTGACTGGAAACTACATGTGAACATGTGGGGTGCTGGAGTTTAGMGGTTTTCTTGGTCGTTTATGAAGCAGAATGTTGGCATTGTCCTGTCTTATCTTTAGTATGCAGAACACTTTCATGGGTTGGATCAGTTGATCCTTACAGGAACTTCATCTCCATTTCAAGATAGAGGAAACTGAGGCTTGGAAAAATTACCATTTGCCCAAGGTCACACAGCAGTGGGGTTCAATCTGCATTGCAAGATGTCTKTTTACACATCCGCCTCCTCTGTTCTGAGCTGGAGGCACAGAACTGTAACCCAGACCTTCTGGCAGTCCGTTGTGTCAGATGGCAATAGCGGAGACAGAAGCAGGGAAGTTGTCACCTTCCCCTTCTGAGGTCTTGGGGGTTCCAGGGAAAGGGGCAACTCTTTTGGAAAATAGACAACAAGATTTTAAGAAGCTCCTGTAAGTGGAGCTGTCGAAAATACATGGGGAGAAAATTAACTCCTAGTTTTAATTTCTGTTTGAATAGGTGAATTCCACACCTCATAGAACTTGTCCATAAGTTACAGAATTTGATGCTATGGTGCTTTCTCTATGTTGCAGTACTAGGGATCAACCAGGGCTTCTCACCTGCTGGGCAGATGCTCCACCATAAAGCTACACCCTGGGCACTGCATTTAAATTAGCTTTCAGATTCCACTTCCTTTTAAAGTCTTTTCACAAACTTGATTTTTCTGCAAAATGTCTTTGATCATTGGGATAATTCCCATGGAATTCTCATGTGATGTGTGTTTTTAAGTACTGAACAATAGTCTAAAATAAAGAAGTAGCTTGCCCAGGTGAGAATTCTTAGAACTCACTTGAACAAACCATAAGCCTGCAGGAAAGGTCCCAGAAGCAGCAGCCACTGACGGCTCCAGGGTTATCATCAGAGCTCCGAGGCCTTTCATGGACACCTGTATGGTAGAGGTGAAATGGAATGCTAAATGGACCTGGGTTGTGTGCTTTGCTAATGAAGAGGAAAGCAGTCGGGGAGAGAACTCAGACACGGTCTGTATGGAATTGGATTTTTTTTTTTTTAATTCAACAAGGCTGTATCTGAAACTCTAGAGAATTTTATAGTAAAGCTTAGATAAATATTTCATGTAACATCTTAAGAAGCAATCACTTATAGTAATTTTAGTCCTCTGATTTCTGTTTGTTTTCAGATTTGAAAAAGCAAACATTTTCTATGATGATTTATGTCTAGGAGCTGCCAATTGAGCCCAATTTCAGAAGACTTATCTTTATAAATAAATTAAATAGGATAATAAAGACTAGCTCTACCTACTTTTATATCTCTTTAGGTAGAAGCAATGTTAAAAGTATCTCCCTCTCTTTTTTTCTTAGTGAAATGTCAACCATAGCCTTTGTAAACATAAAGTACCATTTACCCTCCCAGGTTTCAGCTGCCCTTAGATGGAGGTCTTGTCTCACCCAGCACCTCTGCAATTGATTTTCTTTGGGAACTTCGGCCCTGGTTTTCCTCTGGAGCAGGCATCAACCTGCCTTGCCCCAGTTAGAGCCTTCCCTTGGCAACGCGGGCACAGTGACCAGCACTGACACTTGGTTCTGGGAGCTATTTCTCACACTGCCCTTTGTTGGTTTGCTACTTTGATTATACAAGCTTTTCTTAGAAATATGGCTTGACTCAAGGGCTCTCCGTCCAGACAGCCCATGCTGCTTACTAGCATTCATCCCAGCTGCTAGCACATGGACACACCTGACATTGTAGTTCTGCATCATTTAAAGATTCATCTTCTTTATCCATTTAAAGCACCACACTAACCCCTACTGTGTTGTGCTGAGCACTCTCTTGTGTGCCTAAAGAATTAAACCTTCATTCGTTTAAAAAAAAAAAAAAAAAAAAAGATTTGTTTTTGATGCTTTGTGCCACACTCCTGTGAGACATACAGTGCAGCAGTAAGTCCAGACATGATCCTTGCCATCATGGAGCTTATGTTTTAGTGGTGGAAAATAGAGGAAAAGCGAGCCAAAAAATAATAGCAGTAATACTTAGAGGTTGCAAAAAGTGCTGTGAATATAGGTAGGTGTGAAATAGGCTGAGACTGCAGGGTGTGGGGCAGGGAGAGCCGCCTAGAGAACCAGGAGGGTCCAGCAATGTCTAAAGGATCGGAAAGACTTGTTGAGTGGAGAGTCGGATGTTATCTTCTTGGAACTTCTAGAAGGCCAGCAGACATGAGGGTAGCAGAAGAGAAAGCTATAGGAAAAGGGGGTGAAGTAAGGCAACTGCTGGGCCATGAAGGATCTGTGACGGGGTCAGGTGTTTGAATGTGAGTCCCACCAACAGTGGGGAGCCTTGGGGGGCTTTATGCAGTTCACCTGCAAAGGGAGTGTGAGAGTCAGCTCCTGGAAGGGCTTCCAGTGGGTCAGGAGTCCAGTTGAACAGCACTTGTCCTGGGAGCTCAGCTCTGTGCAGGGGACGCTGGGGGCAGGGGGCGTGAGACTGTGCTGTAAGCAGAGGGGCTGAGGAGCTGGGCACAGCATGTGCACCTGGTGAGGGTGCAGGCTTCTCAGCTCTGCCTGGTACCTTTCTTTCATGAAGGCCTTACCTGTAAGAGCTGTTACGGTGACTTGCCTTTCTTGCTCTTTTCCTCTCTCCAGGTCAAATTCACCATCTTCTGAGTTCCTGGGAACTCTCTCATGAGAATTCTGGATTAGGACCAGGATGTCCCCATGGCACCCTCCCAGATCCCTCACCTGGGTTTGAGATGTCTTTGGATATTTCTTAGGAGAATCTCAGTACCAGCCCTCTCCCCATGGACCCTCTGCACAATCCCATGTCCATTTCTGTGCCTGCAGAGATTATAAAGCACCTGCATTCATGTATTCCATCTGTTTTCCACATAGGTTTTATGGCAGGCACACAAAGAAACCCTCAGATGTCTCAGTACGGACCTCAGCAGACAGGACCGTCCATGTCGCCTCATCCTTCTCCTGGGGGCCAGGTGCACCCTGGAATCAGTAGCTTTCAGCAGAGCAACTCGAGTGGGACTTACGGCCCGCAGATGAGCCAGTATGGACCCCAAGGTAAACGTGGCGCAGTGAGTGGTGCGAGTCTCTCAATACACTAGTCCTTCTGGGTCTTAATGCTTTAAGTGTGCTTGAAGATTCCCTTGGTGGAGCTGGGGCTGTGGCTCAGGGGTAGAGTGCTTGTCTAGCATGTGTGAGGCACTGGGTTCCATCCTCAGCACCACATAAGAATGAATAAAATAAAGGTATTGTGTTCATCTACAACTAAAAATAAAAATTAAATTAAAAAAAGATTCTCTGGTCCCTGACACAGGCTGTGAGGTTAATGCAGACCTACAGTCCTTGAGCTGCCTGCCCATAATGCTGGGAAGAACCACAGCCCCTGTTCCTTAATTAAGCGCTAAGTGTGCCTTGTGTTAACAGTTACTAATGGGGGAGCAAACCTGTCTCTTCAGTGCCATTCCAGTGCTTATGGAGAAAGGACACAAGCCTTAGCTTAGAAGGTTCTGATTTATTAGGGCTCATCTTGTGGGACCTTTCTCTCAGTAATCCCCTTCAGGACCTCAGACTCTTGACTCAGAAGGGTGTCCCTGCTCATGGCCCACCAGCCTGTCTTTGGGGTGCTGAGCAGGTGGGGGCATTTCTCACTTCCCCGACCATCACCATCGACTCCTGGAAGACAGCACGAGCCTGACACAGGTGCATATCCTCCAACAGGAAGAAAAGGGGAGCACGGAAGGATAAGTGGAAGCTGCCCCAGATGCACCCCCCAGGATTGCTTTCCTAGAGCTCATGCAGGTTTTATCAGATATGCAGAGTCCTTTCATCAAGGTTTAACCTCATCTGGATGTGTGTGTGTGTATTTTTGAAAGTCACTATGGGCAGTAGGACATTTGAATTTAGCACATTCTTTATATTTTGTTTACTTAGACATTAATGGATAATTTAGAGAATGGGATAATCTAGCACAATTTCTAGAGTTTCCTCACCTCTGAAAATCTCAGGAACACTCCAAGGGAAGATGAGAGTGTCGGGCTGCCCATCCCTCCATGGCCCCTCCAGTCCTGCATGGGACAAGCCTCTTGGAGAGCCATGTGTCTTTAGCTGGGCCACATCGGGGGGGGGGGGGGGGGCGGCCCAGGCGCCTCACAGACAGCCTCCTCGTCCTGTTTTATGGTAGTTACAGTTTGGGAAGGGAGTGGCACTGCCAGTGTGGCCCTGCATCTTGCCTTGTACTGCTGTGTTCTGTTTCCTTTGCAGTTGTTTCTGTGCTAGGAAACTACAACAAAACCCAACGCATGAGTCTTCTTGCCTTGGCATGTGTGCACCTGTGCAGAGCGTGGGCTCTGTTTTGCGTGCTTCCCTTCATGCCACGTCATACAGGTTTTCCAGGTTATTAACTCAGCAAGCCTTAGGATGCTCTTCCTGGCTGACAGTAATGGTCTGCCTGTYCTTGTCAGCACAGGTCATGATGACMTGAAGGGCTTGAGGCAGGACTGGTGAGTGACTTATTCTGGGAGCTGCCCTTACTGTTTCTGTAGCTGTCAAGGAAAGAARAAAACTGTAGACAGTTGGAAAGCAATTTGCAAATTATGGTGGGCCTGGAAAATGTGGACTTTTTCTCAGAATATACCTGGAGACAAGGTTGCGGCTCTGTTTTCAGAACTGGCTGCTGAATGCTGAAGGTCTAGGCCTTAACTTACAACCCTTGAGGCTTCGTGTGATTTTTGACGTAGGTCTCTGTACTCCTCAGCAAGTCAGTCTTGGAGCCCCTTCCTCAGTGACAGAAGACGGCCTCAGACCATCCAACAAGTCCTTTGTGAATAAACCTTGAGCTTCTGCTATGGGAGTCAGTAGCAGGGAAGATGATTTCCATGGAATGAATTCCTTTTTTGACAAAATCCTCCTTCAGTTTTCTGGAATCATTGATTATGAAGACTTTTCACTTAAGAGTACTGAGCCTGTAAGAATTCTCTCACCCAACCTGCTATGTGTTGTTGAACTATTGCTTACACCCTCTGTGAGTTACTTTTCTTCTGGAAAATGAGAAAATTGGATTCTATTACCTTGGAAATAACTTTCAATTCCAGTGTTCCACAAGCCTAAATTTTGCTTCAATTCTAGGCTGTTTTATATTAGCGTAGCTACTGGATCCCCGTGGGACAGAGAGGCGCTTTCCCACTGATTCCTCCCCAGCCCTCTGGGTTTTTACCTTGATGAGGTCTGCCTAAGTTGCTGGCCTCGAGCCCACCATCCTCCTGTAAGAAGGTGTTCATGAACCAGGGCCGTCCCTCTGTCCCCAGTCTCCTGCTTTTTTGTGCCCTTCTCCCTCTTCTCTCCACATGGCACCCACACACTGTTCACTCTGAGGTGCATCCCTTCAAGGGTCCTGCACAGGCAAGGCTGATGCCAGGGATAAAACTAGTGTCCCAGGTTTCTCATGTTCAAATCCACACGGCAGCCTGGTCTCAGCCAGCACCTGGTGCAGGAGAAGCACAGTGCACAGGACTCTGCCACTCGGGGAGCGCTCTTTCCTTCTCATTTCTCTTTGATGATCCTTTGAAGCAGGGACACAAATGATATTTCCTTTTCTTCCTCTTCTTAATTAACTGCTCTGATTACCAGTAAAACATTCTGCTTGCATCTTCCCACTTTAGGTTTTCATATCTTTGGAAAGRCACATGTGTGAATGGCAAGTGTCCTGAGCTTTGTCCTCTGTTTTCAATGACTTTTTCTTAGATTGTGTACTTGAGAGATCTCAGGGGAAGATACTTTTTACCTCTGTTTTTACTTTTGTCAAAAGCAGCTTCTCCAAAATCGTTGTTAATAATAAAGAGCTTTTGTTAAGCAGTCTCTGCCCTGGGTCCCCGTGAGGCAGGTCATGTTTCCATGCTGCTCCACARAGGAGGAAACTGAGGAGGTGGGTCACTTACCACAACCCCACAGGTTTAAATGGCAGAGCCAGGCTCACAGGGACAGTGGCCTCAGAGGCCATTCACACAGTCACTGGCTGACCACGTCCCAGGCCTCGCTGTACTCCCTTCCTTCACAGGCCACGCAGAAAGCAAAAGCAAAAGGCTTGCCACGCACCTTCGGGAGCCAAGAACGTGTTAGGAGTCCAGTCATGGAAATACATCAAAAGTACCAAAGAGGGCGTAAGCAGTAGTTCAGCAACACATAGCAGGTTGGGTGAGAGGATTCTTACAGGGGGAATTGTTAGAAATACTATAAAATCTGAATTATTAAATATACAAATGAGATGCAACCAACTTAAATGTGTAAAAATATTTAATTACAGTCTATTTTACAAAGTAGTACCTTTCTACCTTCAAGGAAACACACATAGTAACTACCCTTGCAAAGTATTTGCAAGGTAAGAGGGCCATGGGGACTCACTTTAATAAACAGACTTATATAAATAACTATTAATTATTAATAAGTAGATTTTTATGGGAAAAGAACTGAAATCAGTTTTATCTTCATAGCCCTTTTATTTCTTAAGGACAAAGATTCTATTTTGTTTTTTGTGTTCTCTAGAAAAACATCTCTCACACTGAGCATCTATAGATACTCTGCATATTTGACATTGATTGCAAAGAGGAGCAAGGACCTGGCCGTTGTTTTGCTACAAATAAATAGTGTTACCTCAGGCGGGTCACAACAATTCTGAGACTAGATATCACTCACTTGTACAGTAGCAACTGAGTGTTTGTGCAGGTCCTCCATGTGGAGCTGCGCAGGTTGCACACTGACATAGCCTAGTGTTGTGCCTTCGTTTTACAGTGTCTGTCTTAGGAAGCAGAGGACCCACAAGTAGGTAAGTCTGATCAACTGTTTACTTCTCAATTTAATAAAAGGTGTTTTCCCGGAAGGATCTCAACATTTTTTCTTTAAAATAAATTAAAAGCCATCTGTAATCTTCTTTTTCCATTCCTTTCTCATAAATTCAGCAAAAACAAAATTATATTCAGTTGTAATGAATGCAGTTCCAAAGTAGTGAATTCTACAGTAATAATATTGAAGCCATTTTGGTCTAGAGGAGCAAGGTACAGATATTGCAAGTTGTCCCTTTTGCGGGCCCTCTTGTGGGCCCCTGGCCTGCCTGACCCAGAGTTTCTGGCTCCACTCTTGTAAATCTGGATCCCTGTTTGTCTCCCTACCTTCCACAGGGGAGGGGCAGGGGTGCCTGCTTCCTGGGTTCTGAGCTGGGGTCCGAAGGTCACCTTGGTGCAGARGTGGATGCCGTTCTTTTTTGGACTCAACTGTGTCTGTGCTATGGCTCTCCTTGGTATCACTCATTTTTTTCTTTTCTTTTCTTTTTTTTTTTTTTTTGGTGGGGGTAATGGATGATAACACACTTCGGGGTTATAGCTTCTTGTTCCCTTAGCCCTGTTTTATGTTTAAATTGACAGAAGCCAAAGGATTAATCCATTTTCTATATGGTTTTGTTTTATTGAAGGAATATTCTAAACCTGTGTTAATAATAGTAGAATAAAACAAATGGAATTAGATCACTTAATTGAAAAAGGAAGGTTGATGTAAGCAAGTCTTCTTTTGATGTTCACATTTAGCTTAAGTGACAAGATTTAAGTGTGAATTTTTCTTAGACTGATAATCATCATGATTTGATCAAAACCTATGAATTTTTTAAAAAGTAAAAAAAAATTACAATGAAAATCAACTCAAAATAGGAAAAAAAAAAAAGAAGAAGAAAGGGAGGGGGGAAGCTGGGCATTGCTGTGCCCCCTGTAATCCCAGCTGCTCACAAGGCTGAAGCATGAGGATGTGAATCCAAGACTAGCCTGTTCAGCTCATGGAGACCCCATCTCTAGGAAAGGGAAAAAAAGAAAAAAGAGTGAGTTTGACTTCGGTAAAGCTAATTGTTCTACCTTGATAATTAACGTCAGCAGCACACACAGGACAATGTCCTTTCTGCTAGTCCACAGGATGAGCACCTTATGGTTGTATTGGTGGCTTTCACTGCTGCTGGTCTTGATGAGGACAGCCACAGGCAGTAGTCAGGATGACCACACATGGACACACGGCTCTGCTACATG